CTCTGTGGATGTGCCCTCTGGGAGGCAGCAGGTGATGGCTCAGATAGTTGGGTGTTGCCACCCATATGGGTGACTTGGATTGACGGTCTTCCAGCTTCAATGTAGCCCAACCCTGGCCTTTGCAAGCATTTAGAGATAAGGCAGCAATAGGGACCCATGTGCATCTCACAATAATGAAAATTAGAGGCCTATTTACACATATACTATACACATATATACTATATATACATGTCTATGCACATATGTGGCTATATATGTACATGTATATACATATATATAAATAGTATGTTAGGTGCTGACACTACCATGGAGAAGGATAAAAGGGAGTGGGCTATAGAGAGGGCTGGATGGTGTTGGCAATGGGCGAGATTAACTTTAAACAGGATGGTCAAAGGTGTCAGGGGAGTAAAGAGGTGAAGGAGGTGGGCAAGGAAGCCTGGCAGAGAGGAGTGCCAGGCAGAGGGAGGAGCCAGGGCAAAGCCTTTTTGGAGAAGCTGGCTCTAGAAGCCTGTGTTGGGGAAAGAGGTGAGGGAGGATGGGGACAGGGGCAGGGGAGAAGATCCAAGAGGAGGCAGCTTGCATCTCTGTGCCCCCTCTCACTGCCAACACTTGTACCTCAGTGAGTTAACTCAAGCGCTGTGGTGGTGGCTCAGTTCAAGCCAGCTGGAACTCAGTCACCCATCACCCAAGGTGAAGATTGTCTAGAGGAAGCAAAGGGAAAAAGCATCAAATTCTTGTCTCCTAAGTTTCAAAAAACAGGTTTAAATACAGAGGGGGAAATCTGGGCAGGTGCAGATCTTTCCAAACACAGCTCTCCTCCTTGAGGGAAGCAAATGCGTCCAAATCCATCATGCTTGTCAGATCCTAGAACACTCTGCCATCCCCCTTATCCCCTAAGTGGGAGTTAGACTTGGCCGTGGATGGTGGTAGATCACCCCACTGCCATGCCACAGTGGAGTGGGATTGCTGGCCACCATGCTTACCTCTGAATCAGGAGGGTCTTCGGTCTTAGAATCTTGAAATCTACAAAGTTGAAGATTTCTGGTCCTTATAAACAGGCTTCCTAATTTCATATATCATATTAAACAACAGAATAATGAATATCTCTGCCATTATCCCATTTGTGGGAAACTTACTGAGAACCTGGCCTCTTGCTGTTCTACTCTCATGATTCTCATGTCGCACAGAATTAGGTACTATTATTATCCTGTCTTTATAGTTCAGGAAACTGAGGTTTAGACCCATGATGTCAGTGGCCTAGTGTTAAGCAGCTACTAAGTGGGCAGTGTTGAGGCCTAGACGAGGAACTGATACCCCATCTTGCCAAGCCAACATGCCTCCTTATTTGGGTTGGCAGATGTGTCCTTGTGTGTGCCTCAATGGTGACAAATGTCTTATTGACAATGAAGGGGGCAGGACAGTTGCTGACCAACTCTGAACCCTCCCACAGTGAGACCTGGAGAGCTCAGAACAATGCAGCCTGGGCCTGGTGCCAGATCTGGAGGCCCATACTCTCTGAGGGATATGAACCATTGTTGGGCCAGTCTGCCTGGAGAGATGCAAGGGGCTGCTGCTGCCTCTCTGTGTTGTCTGGTGACCTCCCAGTGACAGCCATGAGTGAAGTCATCAGAACCGAGTGGCCCAGGACATGCCTCTGTTGCCTGTGCTGTCAGATAGCTGAGATCCAAATTACAGCTTGCGTCAGCCCAGTGATCAACAGTTCAGTGTTTCAACCACAGTGAGCACATCGACTCCCCTGTGCTCCCCAATGGGGCTTCCAGGACCACATCCATTCGCTGGATGGCCACACTGAGCAGAAGAGGAAAATTGCCCAATGTCATCTGAGGTCAGGATTCCAACCCACTTCCTGCAGACTCTCAAATCTGTGTCAGATGCAGGAGGCCAGTGGTGATTTTCAAATATTAGATAACACTGCATGGAGCCCAGGGGGATCAGGGCAGGCTACAGTGAGCAGATGAAGGAATCAGGCTGTCACATGCTCCCCACTTCACTCAAAGCTGCTCCTGCCTCAGGATTCTGTGTCAACTTGCTTTGAGAGAAGTCTGTGCCCTTTTAACAAAATTATTTGGTTTTTATGTATTTAAAAAATCTTTTTTTTTTTTTTTTTTTTTTTTACTTCTTTGAAGGGCAGAGAGGGGAGAGAGTAAGAGCAAAAGAGAATAGGAGCGAAAGAGAGTGAAAGAGGAAGAACAAGAGAGTGAGAGAAATCTTGCATTGTGTTGGTTCCCTCCCCTAACACCTGCACTAGCCAGGGCAAAGTCAGGCCAAGGCCTGGATGTAGGAACTTTGGCTGGGACTCTAGTGGACAGGACTCAAGCATCTGAGTCACCACCTGCTATCAGTTGTGTTAGCAGGAAGCAGAGGTGGCCTTTGATCTCAAGTACTCTGATGTAGGATGTGCCCACCCCAGGCGACAGCTAAGCCTGCTGGGAAAGAATGCATGCTCCCCACCATATTTGTGCTGCTCTGTCTTTGGAGGACTGCCTCAAGCCATATTTTCTTTCTTGGGGATGAAGTTCAGGCCTTTCTTTTCCTGGGACTCCCGTTTTCTCTCTAGGGGCAAGGAGAGACTTGTTCTCTCTTGGAGGTTTTTACCAGTCTTAGGAGAGCAGCACAGTGTGGGAAGGCAGAAGACGCAGGAGGGCAGGCAGAGGACCTGGGAGGGCAGCACAGCCCTGGAGGGCAGAGGACTGGGAGGATAGAGAACTTGGCTTCTAGCTCTGGTTGTGGTGTGCTTTGGGCTGGCTGTTCTTACCTGTAACATGAAGGGTGTTGGTGTCAATGGTCCCTGAAATGAAGCTCTCAGTTGATGTAAGTGGGTCTAGGACATTATGCTTAACTAATGCATTTTGAAAGAGATTTATTTGAAAGGCAGAGGGATCCAGCGAAAGGGAGAGATGCAGAGAGAAAGACCTCTTCCATCTTATTTTTCCTTCTGGAGGGTATCAGTTCCTAAGAATGATAGGAGGAAGCTACCTACAGTAAGGAAACAAGGGCAACCCACAGAGATAAGCAGAGTAAATGATGGTAGCAAGACAAAAGAGGCAGTAACTGGGAGCCCCTGGATCCAGCCATACCTGATACCCAATTTTCTTTTTCCTTTTCTTTCTTCTTTCTCTTTCTGATTTATATTTATTGGAAAGTCAGATTTACAGAGAAAAAGAGAGACAGAAAGATCTTCCATCCATTGGCTCACTCTCCAAGTGGCTACAATGGCCAGAGCTGAGCCAATCCAAAGCCAGGAGCTATGAATCTCCTCTGTGTCTCCCATGTAGATGAAGGGTGTCAAGGCTTTGGGCCATTCTCAACCTGTTTCCCAGGTCACAAGCAGAGAACTGGATGGGAAATTGAGCAGCTGGGACACAAACCAGTGCCCAAATGGGACCTTGGAGGATGCAAAGCTAGGATTTAACCATTATCATGTGGGAACCCTAATGCCCACTTTTCAACTAAACAAATTATCGGTTCTCTCTCTTTGACCAATTTTCTTTTTAATGATTGATAGGCTAATATTATGGAAGCAAGCTCTTCTTTGTTAGAAAATTATCAAGCTCAACTTTGAAACAGGTGGGACTGGGGGAAGGAGTTTCTCCTATGGAACCTCAGAAGAAAAATGTCTCCTGTTTGTTTCCCATTCCTTGCTGAGCTGGTAAACCAGGTGTTGACTGCAGGGTGGGCACAGACTCAACCTTTCCATTACACAGATGGGAAACCCAGATCCAGAGGGGGAGACCTTCTTCAGGTCTACAATCAGAGCTAAGCCAAGCACTTGGCTCTTCCTCTCTGTGCCCTCTTCGCCTCTCTGCGTGACCCTTCTTAGCACCCCCACCCCCATCACGCCACAGCCTCACCTGCAGTTAGAAGAGACTGGGAGGGTTCCTGTGTTCCTTGTGTCGGTTGAGCCCTGAGGACCCCTGGTTCATCCAGGCACGTGTGCAGCCTGAATTTGTTTTCAGAGTCCTTGGGGACACATAGAATGCCCTGGGGGGAGCAGATGGAGGGGGAAGAGAACGACATGAATTTCTCTCTCTGCCTGAATCTCACCCATCGTCTGGGCCAGTCCTCCCTCACTCCCACACCAGGGTACTGACCAGGCCTACCTACAGTTGTGGTCTGAGGGCTCAGGGCTCAAGGCCTGGCCACAGCTTGTCCAGTGTTGAGACAGCAGGAAGAGGCAGCAGGAGAACTGCTATTTGCAAGAAGAATGATGATGATGATGATTTTACAGTAAGGAGACACTGCAAGGGAACAGCGCATATGGGAAAGCCAGGGAACCACTTTCACCTCATAAGGCAGATTTGTTCAGCCCTGGTCCCAGGAGATCCAGCACAACAGCTGCCCATGGGGCCAGGGGATAGGTCCTTGACAGCCACAGCCCAAGATCTACAACTGCACCAGACCTGTAGGGAGCACGTGCTCACAAACCACTCAAAGCCGCACACAGGAGAAATGATCTTTAATGTTCTTTGTTTTCCAGCCCCCATCAAAGTGCCATCAATTCGTGAGGAACAGGGAGGGAGGGGCCGGAGAGGTACGGAGTCAGGAGACACAGAGCGCCCTCCCTCTCCTGGGCGCACACTCGCTCGGCCCGCACTTGCGCGGGCATCCCCACCCCCCACCCCACGCGCTCACATGCAGGCCACACGCACACCACACAAACACACACACACACACACACACACGTGTACCCACGGTTAAATACATGTAGAGAGGGGACTTATATGTACAGGGGTGGGGGTTTTAGAGAGAGAGACGTCATCCCAGCAGGTGTGGGGTGCCCCCAGGCTCTCAGCATGCTCGGCCTAGCTCTCCATGCTGTACTTGGCACCCATGCCCCTGCCAGACAAGCAGCTGTCCCCCTCTCCTAGTCCCCAGCCCCCTCCCCCTCCCCGTAATCCCCATACCCCCCCGGCGTGGGCACCATCCTCTCTCCACCAGGATTGCCTTCCCCGGGGAAGGAGGAGGGTCCCTCCCCACTTCCCTAGAAGTGCCCGGGTGCCAGGGGCATGTTGCTTTTGAAGCCAGGCTGCCCGTTGGCCACGTCGGCCGCAGACTCGCAGCCACCGTTGCTGGAGCCCCCGTCCGTGCCGGGGCTCTCGGGGTCGGCCAGGAGCTTGAAGGTGAAGAGCTGAGTCGAGTCGTGGCGGCTGCGGCGGCCGGCGGGCTCGGAGGCGGGCAGGCTGAGCAGGGCGCCGGGTGCCCTCCACTCCGGGAAAGCGTACAGCTCGACGGCCTGCGGCGCGCCGCGGCCCAGATAGCCCGGGCTGGGTGAGGCCGACGGAAGGGTCCGCTGGCTGCCGCTCAGGCAGCTGCCGCTGTCGTCCAGCGAGTCCTTGCGCGACTGGGAGCGCTCCAGAGAGCCGCCGCGCGTCCACGGCCGGTAGGTGTAGGCGCAACCGCCCAGGCGGCGCCGGCGGCGGCGGCGGCGACGACCGCGGCACTGGCACCCGAGGATGCGCACGAAGGCGCGCTTGAACTCCTTGCTGGAGCACGGGTAGATGATGGGGTTGAGGCAACTGTTGAAGTAGCCCAGCCAGAAGACCACCTTGAACACGGCGTCGGGGGGCTTCAGGGTGGAGAACAGGGAGCCTACATGGGGTGGAGACAGACAGCAGCCGTGAGTAAAAGGGCTCACCCTCCAGGTGTCCCTAGCAACCTGGGCTGAGTGGTGGTGCACCTGCGCAGGCCCTTCTCCTGCTAGCTCACCCTCACGTTTCAGAACGGATGAATCCTGCACGCATTTACAGGGAGAACCTTAGTGCCTTCGTCCTTGGTCGGGAGACTTTCCTGGAGCTGGCCAGACGGCCCCCAAGCTCCTGCAGGCACAGATTTCCCAGGACCGCACTGGCATTTGGACCACGTGGCATTGCACCTCTCTTCTGTGCTGGATGCTTTGCCGATATTATTTTATCTGTTACAACAGGCCATGCTTTGTTTTCATGGCAAATAGAAGATATGTGAAAGACTTCCATGGAAAAGATAGCACTTCAAAGGTAAAAGGAACAAAGAAACGCGAAGCAGAACTCCAAAGAGATAAAACAAGAAGCAAGACATATTTCCAATGTCCAACGCCCTCAAGGCATTGGTTGTTTAGAACACACGGAGAACTCTTGCAAATCGAGAAGGAAAAGACAACCTCCCCAGTACAAACGTGGGCAAAGATGCTGAACAAGCAATTTACAAGCCATTAATTCCAAGAGCTCAATGAGCTTAGGAGAAGGTGTTCAAAACATTGGTGATCTTGTGGTTATAAAAAAAATTGAAAGTATGTCATTGTAAAAAAGAAAAGTAAGAAAAGAAGGAGAGGAGAGGAAGGGAAAGAGGGTAGATTGGGAATTATCATTATGTTCTTAAAAATGTATATATGAAGTACATGAAGTTTGTTTCCTTTATATAAATTAAAACCTCACTAATGCTCAAATAAATGAAAACAAAAACCATAAAGAGGTATAACATATCTGTTGGGCTGGCAAAAATTAGGAGCCTGGAGAGGTCTTGAGAGCGGGAACCTCAGGTCCTTCCTGTGTGGTTGGGTAAGGGGGACACAGGCTGAGCAGACATGCCGGAGAAGGCCCTGGGACTCCTTGGCAGGGAGAAGCAAATCTACAAGGTGAAACCCAGCCATTCTGCCTCCAATTTCCCACATGTCTGTAAGAGGGTGTGTGTGAGGATGTGTATGGCAGTGTTGTTTGCAGTGATAGGGAGTGGGGGACATCTTGTATCCCTCCCTAGGAAAGTAGACTGGGGTACAGGCATATATGAACATTGTCCAGCACTTAGAGGCCCAGGACGCTGTGGCAAAGAACTTAAACACTATGTTTGTAAGGGAGTGAGGGAAGGAGTGAGAGAGGATAGGAGGGAGAGAATGAGATTTATAACATAACACTATTTAAGCGACTTACGAAACAACAGTGTGCCTTTTGCAAAGGCATTTAAGAAATCTGAACACAATGTTTATTTAGGGGTGAGGGCAGAGGCTCATGGGAATGGGCAATGGGAACAGAAAGAAATAAAACAATAAAGAGAGAAGCCTGGCATAAACTGATGATGATGAGATGTCATAAACCGAGAAATATGATCAACTCTCCACATCCCAAATTTGAGATCCAAAACCACTTTATGATAATATTGAATTAAAAACAATTTCCATTTTAAATACAATGCAACTGCGACTTGGATGAGTTAAGTGGCTTGCCCCAGGTCACACAGCAATGTTTGTAATATAACTGGGATTTAAACTAAATTCTATTTGGATACAAAGTATTTTTTTTAAAAAGATGCTATTAATAATACTCCTTTTTGGAAAAATGAAGAAAAGTCAAAATGTAAGAAGAAAACACTTTAAAAGAATAATTCTATAATACAGAAAAATTACATTTTGGGTCATATTCTTTCAGATTCTAAAACGAGAAAAAAATTATTTTAATTTTATTTGAAAGGCCACACAGACACACAGACACACACACACACACCTTCTGTCTGCTGGTTCACTTCCCAAATCTCAAACACTTACAACAGCCAGGACCGGTCCAGCCTGGATTCACCAGCCGGGAACTCAGTCTGGGCCTCCCACTTGGGTGGTAGGGATGCAAGTGTCTAAGTCACCACCTGCTGCCTCGTGGGCTGGGAATGAACAGGAAGCTGATTGGATATGGAAGAGCCAAACTCCAGCAAGGCATACTCATAAGGAGAATGAACATTCCATACTGCACAAAACACCAAACCCTACTGCATATACCTATGCAAATATTCTCCACAATTGGACTACCAATTGGACATCTGTATTTTCAGACTATGTCCCTAACCCTGCAGCCTGGTCAGGGATATGGACATGTTCTTTCTTGTGTTTCTTCCTTTGTTAGACTAAGCTCCTCAAGGACCTGGTCTTGGAGCTCACCTTTGAATCTATATGTTGAGTGTAGAGCAGGTGCTTCTGGATTATCTACATGGGAGGAACCTCAGCAACCTCCAAGACAAACAACCCTTTTACGGATGCAGATGTTCAGGCCCGGAAAGTGACTGAGAACCCTGAAGGTGGTGGCACAGATGCCACCAGAATTCCTCTCTGTGATTCTGCATTGGGTTGCTCCCCTGAACTACTTCCCTTTGTTGACTTTTGGAAGTTTTGTTTACTGCTACAAGGGAGTTCCAACCCTGCTTTTCTACTTAGCAAGCCAGCTGGTGAGAGATGGCTGTGCTCCTGGTGCAGGATGAAGCCAGTGAGGAGCTACCCCCAGCTGGATGTAACTGACTCAAACTCTAAGGACTAATCCTTCTCCACTGAGGGGAAAAGTAGCAATGGGCCCCATTCCAGGTTTGCTTGAGGTAAGGTAAATGAGGGCATCACCTCATAGTCTCATTTGTGACAAGGGTCACACTACTTGGAGTCAGATACAAAAGGTCCCAGGTGGAATAATGATGGCATATAAATGGGTGTGAGCTGTCTCTTGGTGATGATGGGCTTGTCTCTGTCACTGATGCTGAAGGTGGAGGCAGGCGGAGAATTACTTTTAGGGGAGAAATAGAGAGAGAAACATAAACTAGGGAACTTTGTGCATCCCCCCATGAGGGTGAATGCAATGGATGTGTGTCCAGGTAGTACACCCCTTTGTTCAAGGATACATAAAGTCCAGGAAAGAAGCTGGGGCTGCATGGATAATCAGGACTAAACTTGTGGAGGATCGAGAACAGCAGAGAAAAGTTGCTGCAGACAAACTTGCAATTCTGCCTTGTGCAACAGACGCTGAATGCATTAGTGGGGCTGCACTAAGGGTCTGGCTCTTTTAGAGGCTCCACAGATGTGAGGAATGCTGGTAACCAGCATTCATTACAGGTACCATGTATGCTGAGTGTGTGCTCTGTAGGTCCTGTGCAGAACTCTTTGTACCACGAATTTATGGATAACCACAACAATCAGGAGGGACTACTGACCAAACCAGTAGACCCATGTTTTGGATCAGCTCATCAGTATACAACAGTGGTAGCTCTTGAGGTTTCTATACATCTACTCATTTGTTCTTCCATTCATTTGTTCCATCAATACCGAGCTCTGGCTAAGTGCTAGACACACCAGGCCAAGCCATGGGAATAGAGAGATGAGTTTGGAGTATGGACATTCACAGGCCATGGCAAGAGAACACACTTGGTGTTAGGATGAAGGTGTAAATGTCACTTTGTTGCCATGCGCTGGGGGCATATTTTTTTCCCATGCTTCTTCATCTCACAGCAAGCACCTGGCTGAGGACACAGTCTGACTCTTGGCCTTTATTTTGTTACAAAACATTCATTAAAGGATTCTGGCCTTGAGAACCGATCAGCCTAAGTGGATGATGCAGACTCTTCTCAGGGTTGGGGTTGGTGGGTCAGGGTGGGAGGATGGCATTTACAACCATCTCTTAGGCTTCAGCTCCATTAGCTGTTGACTCCCCCACGAAGATACCATCCTTTACCTTTGGACAAAAAGCTCAGGGTTTGGATCTGCACAGATCTGGTACTGAGTCTTCTCTTTAGTTGTGTGACTTTAGAAAAAGGTAATGGCTCTTTCAGCCTCAAGTCCCTCATCTGTCCAATGGGATTGATTGTGAGTATAGGAACACATCCACACAAAATATGTGGTACAGCATCTGGCACTATGAAAATGTTACTTGCACACAGTGGCCATTCTCTGTTCTTTGATCCATTAATCCCCTTCCTCCAGGAATTCTGCTCTGATGAACCCCACTCAGTTTAGATCCATTTCTTCATAGAGCACAGACAAGTGGATCTTGTTTTGTTATGGTGCCGGCTCACTTGTTAATGTTGTTCTACCATCCGGGGGCTGGCTGAGTCCTTGTTTACCACCCAGACCATAAATTCCCTCTGGGTACAAACTGTATTTTCATTTCTTTTGTTTCCCCCCCCGGATTTGTATGTTTTTATTACAAAAATGAGACATGCTGAGTTTAAAAAGTTACACATGATGAAAAAAATCTATAAAGTATGGAGTGAACATTCTTTCTCTCAGCCAAGCACAAGGGACCTGGGTTAGCAGTTTCATTTGTATCCTTCTTGATTTTTTCCACCACATTTTCCTTTCCCTTAAATTGCCTTCTTTGCAGAGAACATATATATTTCCCCAGGCCAGCCCTGGCCCCCCAGGCGCTGCACTGCATCTTGATATCTGGATTTACAGTAGTTTATTTTACACTTTTCTCTAATGATAGTCAAGTAGTTGATTGATTTCCAATTCTGGGTAGCTGCAAACTGCAATCATGAAAAGCTTCAAGCGATTCTTTCTTTCTTTCTTTCTTTTTTTTTTGGTTGCACATGTGAGTGTTTCTGTCAAATAAATCCCTAAATGCAGAATACTGTATCAGTTCACCCCTGAGCACCAACAGCTAGCTAAAATTGCCTTCTGAACTGGCCATAGCAGCGTGGCTTCCCATTAACTGTGTCTCTGTGTCTGAGTGTGAGGTTTTTCTATCCACTGGCCTCCATGGCTTCTAGGTACCATCAGCCCTTTCAATTCCTGCTGTTTGATAGGTTAACAAAGACCATTCCGTTTTCTTTTATTTGCATCTCATTTTGTTTTGTGCCTTTGTAAACCCCAG